TTAAGTGCTCGCGATCGTGGTCGAGCAATATGTCGTGGTAATGAAGGTAGATCGTGCATAGCTGGTCTCCAAATGAATGCCGGCACTGTAGTCTCGTCTCAAGATTCGCGTCCGTAAAAAAGAACGATATACAGAGAGGCCATAAAGCTCCAGATATTCACAGCGTTTTTCTAGCAGGAAATGACTGCGAAATGTTTTTGGGACACAATATTTCGAGACTTTTGTAAAATTATGTAAGAGAGATCTCAGCTTGGCGGTTTGAAGTCGCTCAGCTGAATAATCGTGACACGGTTACATTCATTATACAGACCGATCGACTATCGAGTAGTTCGAATAGTCGACCCACTTTTAGGGCTTGATTTAATTTCGGGGTGTTCTGCAGTCGATAAATTTGTTAAGGATTATTTTAAGATAGTCCTGGTTCCAATTACGGAACAATCGTGTTTGAGCTACAGTAACGTTACAATTACCACGACGGTTAAATGACTCCACAAGTTTTCAACTGTACATTATATAATTTAAGATGCTTTTTTTAAAGAGATGTCCTTTGTTTATACGTTCTTCGACTACATTTTTAATTTTAATAGTCGTAGAGTCATACTTGTTTGCTTACGGCCATCTTGTTTACACTACCATCAAACTTCCTTGAATTTCAGAGAAGTTCAAAGAACCAAAAACCATGATAATAAGTATATATAGATACATCTGCCAGATAAAGTAGAACGTATTCTTCGAGGGTTCATAAAACTCCGAGCATACAACCGAGTTAATGGCTATCGCCGAATGCGAGAAGATTAAAAGCGGCACGCAAAATGGGAATTAACGAGGACTAAACGGAATTAACTGGACTGCCAGTGTGTACCTTGTTTCCCACTAAACCGTAGTTAACGGGTTAAATAGAATTGCAGTGTTTAAAGTCTTCAAGACCGTACAACGAACGTCCATTTGTACCGCGATTACATCATCGTCCGTAAGTAAGGAAAAAGCCAAGGCGCGAAAGTTTATTCGTTCTAATTGGCCGAGTTTATTTTCGTAGGAAACAAGTAGGCCATGCGTGAACTACTGGCTAAATAAATCGCACGTTTTCGCGGTCGTGATAACAGAGAACTAACAATAACTAGCCTTGGTTTCTTCCGATCCAAGCTATTACGTAAACCAAATAAACTTCTCTCGATTTTAACTTTCTTTAGTTTGGAGGATATCGGTAACTTCGTTTAATTGTTATCGGTACTTTGGTAGATCTTAAGATATCTTAAAGGGATCGTCATTTTATTTATTTCCACTTGAACCAATGTCTAACTTAATCTGATACTTATGTTCAATTTTGTCTTGTTTAATGTTAAATTAAACTGGCGGATTTGATGTTGAGATACAAATAAACAAACGTGAATAGAGTTATGTGTCAGAGGTTAAGTGTGTTTAAACATACATTCGAATTACAAGTGAGATTAGGTTAGGAAATTGAAATGTGGACATTTGTTCTAAAACAGACTTGCAATTACACCTAATTTTTCCTTCAGCATAAATTGCTTGAATAAAAAATTGATTATCTCTTTGCCAGTAAACTGACCTTTCACGAGCATCGAAAAAAAAATCGTGCAAGGAGGGTTAATAACTCAATCGTGTGTGACTCTTGTCCAGTGTTAAACTGGAGGATGTTGAGATACAAACAAACAAGCTTGAATAAAGTTATGTGTCAGAGGTTTGCTTAAATGTTAAACGTACGAATGACAAGTGAGGTTAGGTTAGGAAGTCGAAATGTGGACATTTGTTCTAAAACAGACTTGCAATTACACCTAATTTTTCCTTGAACATAAATTGCTTGAATAAAAAATTGATTATCTCTTTGCCAGTAAACTGATCTTTCACGAGCATCGAAAAAATAAAATCGTGCAAGGAGGGTTAATAACTCAATCGTGTGTAACGAATGTTAGGAGCAGCAGCTCGTGGGAGGAAATTTAAGCGGTCCGATGTTACCGTCGAATAATCGACGGAATATTTAACGATCCAGCTTAGTCCCGGCACGAGAGGTCTCTGCATTTCAGTCACGCGCCACCGAACATCCGGTCATAGTTTCCTGCCGGTGTACATCTCAGCCACGATTGGCGCCTATTTTTGTATTTCGCTCGATGCCAGCCTCGAAGGGCGATTCTCAATTGTCGCGAACCCGTCGCTGCGCATTTAAACGATCCCTTAACGGCAACGGGAGACTGCGAGTCGAGACACTGTGTTCGCTGCGTCCCCGTTTCCACAGAAACCTCTGTTGTAAAAAATTTGCAAGAAACTGCAAGGTTCGCGCGTAACTGCAACGTTTTGACCTTAATTGTTCCCGCCAGGAAATTCTGCGATTTCGCGGACTTCCATTCTGGAATGATCGTTTCTCTCGGAAAGTCTTGACAAAAAGAAAATTCACAGAAGATACGAGTAACCGGGATATCCATTTCTGGCGGGAAGCGATATGGAAACTCGAGCGCGATTCATTGAACTGGAACTTTAGAATTTCAGAAGTTTGAAATTTCTGAAGTTCGCCACGGTTTCTCGAGTAAACGGTCTAATGTAAACACATTGTGAAACTCCCCGCTTTGAAATAATTCTTACACTGATATAAGCCATCAAGTGTCGTAAAAAGTGAAGGAAACTGTGTTAAAGAGTTGATAAATAGAATAGTAGGTTCGTTGAAATTTTAGTTAGGGTATCAATTTCCTGCAAGCAGCGAAAATGGCGTTCGATCAGGCGGTGATATACGCGATCCAGATTCGAGACGCGAACAAACTACGCGACTAGGAAAAGTAAACCTTTGGAAATTTATTTTCCTTGGGAAATCACGAAACGAGGGAAGAGCACTTTGCGAACTTCTCGAACGCATACATCACGCGAGCAACCTTCGAAGAAGAGACCAAGATGGCCGAAAACGACGCGCGATTAAGGTCAATTCCGGTCGCGCGGTTTTAATAAACGGGACCTTGTGCCGGCGCAGGTTTTTAATGCACCCCAGAAACGTTCGCTTAATCGGAACGACCCGTATTTCTCCGCTTCTCTGTTTCTTTCCCTCCCTTCGCCGCCTACCCTCTGGCCTTGTCCGTTGTGTATTTCTTTTTCTCTATTCCGCTCTCTGTCGGCCGCGAGAGCTACGCTGCGAGTTTTTATTAAAGTCCCTTTTCGAACCGACCGCTATACCTTCGCCGCGTAAATAGCACCGATAAGAGGCGGCACTCGGCGACGCAAACGCATGCCAAAGTAACCCTTTGCATCCTCAAACGACCGTGCTCCGGTTTTCAGAATCACCAAGAACCGAGTCTGATCCGGGAACGCTTTTTCGCGAATTAATTGCACCTTTGTCGAGGATTCCCCCTTTCTTTGTACTTGTTCTGACACAGTTTCCCTGCTGACGATGCAGCCGTAACGATATTTATCGGAATATTAAAAGATAACCTAGTTTAGGATATCACTCGATATCGCGTGATGTTCGATCTGCAATTTTCTACCTTATCGAATTAATACGGTATTAGTTTTCTACCTTAATTTTATAGTACAGCGTTAGTGCCACTTTATCGAGATTTAAACTGTAGTTTAATCTACACATTCAATGGAACAGTGAGCGAGTAACCGTTATATTTATAACGTGGTAAGATGATAAGCTGAAGCTCTGTACAAACATGTGCTCTGTACACGCTGTTCGCTTAAATAGTACAGTGAAACTTGGAAATAAAAAATTTCTTAGTTACTCGATTATGTGTAATTAATAGTGCACTTAACATATGTTAACACTTAACATGTGTTAACACTTAACATGTTAACTATTTGGCATTTACATTAATAAAATGTTTCATGTATTTATCCGTGTACATGTTACATATAAAAGCTAGAAACTCGGTATTAACATAATCCACACGATTATTATATTTTACCACAGCGATCTTCAAAGATAAAACGTTACAAGACTGCTGGGACAGAATTATTTATAGCAGTTTATTCGCATTGCGTTATGATATCAAATGATCGGTTAAGTGCATACAAATCGAGTACTAATTGCACACGATTACGTATCTATTATATTAATGTCACGTATTCTGAAATAAAGCTATCAGAATAGATATACAAATATGGTAAAGAATTGGTCATCACAAGATATACGGCATGCAAATTGCAAAAACAGTTTTTCAACCGTTACTTTGCATAACAATGTCTTTATTTCTCCACTTGAGAAAAATTGGTATATTTAGTCTTTAGAACATTGTTGTTTATTTACATACCTTTTCACCAGTTAATAAATGATGTCTTCACGTTTTAAAATATACCGCCATGTTCCAAACACACTGGAGTGCAGCACTGCGACATCTTGCGAATGGAAAGATCTTCGCTAAATTGTGATTGACTAATTTTTGACGCGCCGTTTTACACCCAATTCAAATTCGTTCCATCTTCACGTACTATTTTAAGCTGCAGTTCAAAAATATAGTAAATAAGATGTTAAACTTGCAATGAGAATTTATAATTTAATGAACGTAATAAACTAAACATGTTATTTAAATCTTACTCTTACCTTAACCTTACTTGTGTATCGACAAGCACTTGAGAACTGCACTGCCCATGCCATCTGACGGTGAAAACAGAAGAGTTCTCGTAAAATACGATAGATAATTAAAATTGAAACTTAACAAAGTTACTCACTTGTATCAAAAGTATATTGCGTAGTAAGACTTATAAGATATATTCTTTGAAGTGTACACGTACAAGCAATATCTTCCATATACTTCGTACAGTAAATCACGTGGTATATTTCTGTAATATAATTTCTATTAAATACTTTTATTAACTACTGTATTAAGTACTGTATTAAATAGTGCAATTACCGTCAACGACTAATAGTCAATTCAAAATAGTCGGATGTAAAGTACAGAAAACTGACTACGAATTTAATCAACTTGTCTCGTAGAGGTCACTTTCCCTCCAACGCGTGGCGCCATCGAAGTGTTTACTGCGCATCCTGAACTACGCATTCAAGTTGCGCGCCATTGCGCGCGTTCTTCTCGTTTGACAAGTGTTGTGTTGTGTATCACCGGTGTGCTTAATTACAAAACATCGTTTACAAAATGGGTGTTACCGTGTAAGTACTTAACACAATTCAATACACTTTTCTAACCGTTTACACTCACTATTTATTCTATCGCGAACACTTAATTTTGTGTACTATACGCGATTATCGAACTTTGACGTTTGAAGGTTATGTCATACGAGTAGCACATGTTAAAGTAAATTGAACGTTCTAGAATCTTTTATTTTACACGTTACGACGTTTGATCGTTATTTTATTCATTGTAGATAGTTTCAATAATTTATGTGTAGTACTAACGAATGTTTGATCGTGTCTTTAGTAACCGGCATTTTGCGTGCTTTCCAGATTACAGCAATATCCGATGATAGAGAACAGAACCGGCCCTCAAACGATCGAGTTTCTGACGAAACGTGTTGTCGCCCTCGGTGCTGTGCAAACCGGACAATTCCTTGTGGATTGCGAGACGTACGTGTCGGTGCCGCAGTTGGGTGAGTGTTTGCACATTTTCAAATTAAATTTTTGAAACATCGTTTCGTATCCGGGTACCGGCGTAGTACGTGTCATCGAATACAGATGGCTATCATTGTATCGTTCGAAGTACAGAATTTCTTTTCTTATAAAAATCAAATAGAATCAAGTTGACAGCGTTAGTCCACAGATTTCTATAAAAATATTTTTTGTGAAAGTTAGCGAAAGTTAGGAATCATTTACTAGATTCACAGATAAGGGAAAAGTTAAATGCATAATGAAAATCATAAGAGTAAAAGTAATTCCAATATTCGTGGTACGGTGTAAGAGGGAGTTTTCGAGCGTTCAGGAAGCGTGGGAAGGAAATAAGAAAACGATTAGTTGTTGACGATTATACGTGTTTTTTTTTCTCATTTTGGCATTTATGTAGGTGTATACGGATCTCTATACAAACACGCAAGTAGTTTGGTTCCGCCGAAAGTCAATTAGCAATCGTATATCCAGTATCGTTCGTTACTTCTACGTAGAGAGGTACAAACGCCAGACGCTAACGAGTTACGGCTTAAGTACACATATACTTAGGCATAGCGTAAATACACGTGGTGCACGAATGCACGGTCGCTTTCAATGCGGATTTCATGCCACCGTATCGGCAGGATTGTTTTGTGCTATTCGTATCTCTTCGATCGATTTTCTATTTTGCACAACGAACAACTCGCTCCTGTATCCGTCTCCTCGTTCGTTCTTTTCTTTCCCGTTTCAGCGGCGACAAATAATCGAATGAACGGTTCGACGCGTTTTAACGTAAGAATCGTGTAGTCGGGTGGATGAGCATAGTAATCGGAGAAACGAATAACGATCGTAAATAGCGTAATATCGATTTCAATCGAAGAACCACGAATTTTGATTACGTTCTATATTTTCGGTATCGCAGAATTTAGAAATCGAGAATCACGATGGTATTTCAGTTACGTTCGCGAATCAATCGCTTCGCCCATTCGGAATCGATCGGTTCGACGATGGCACACGAACACGTACACGATTACTCTGTGAAGGTACAAACGAGCTAGTCTAAGCGTCTCATTACAAAAATATTAAATCTAGCAAGCGAAGCTAGGCGCGACTTTTATCAGGCTAGATATATGTATATACGCTTGTGTATATGTATATTTATATTTATGTATATGTATATATTTATATTACTATACCCTTGATGCAGCTTTTGGAAAATACGTTCTCGGAATATTCTCTTTTCGATTATACAGCGTATCTACATTTTGAACATCCCTATCGGTGACGGCCAGCGTTTCCTCCGAATGTCCTTTTTATTGTCGTTTACTTGTAAATAGTTCGCTCGTTTATTGTCGATCGATAGAAGACTTAATTATGTGTACATTGCCTCAAACAGGTCGTGATGGATCCTTCATTATTTTTCTTTCAAGTTTCATTTTTAACTCTTGCTTTTACAAATTTTGCAATTTTGGGAAATTTTAAGGACTCGATTATTCGAACATTTCAAATTTTGGAAAGTAGAGACTTCTGAAATTTTGGGAATTTTGGAATCTGAGGATATTTTGGAATCTGGGGAATTTTGAAATTTGGAGAATGTTGGAATCTGCGGAATTTTGAAATCTGGGGAATTTCGAAATTTTGGGAATTTTAGAATTTGGAGAATTTTGGACTCTGGGGAATTTTGGAATTTGGGAAATTCTGGAAACTGGGGAATTCTGAAATCTGGGGAATATTGGAATTTTGGAACTTGGGGAATTTTGAAATTTGGAGAATTTTGAAATCTGGGGAATTTCGAAATTCGGGGAATTTTAGAATTTGAGGAATTTTGGAATTTGGAGAATTTTGGAATCTGGGGAACTCTGGAATCTGGGGAACTCTGGAATCTGGGGAATTTTGGAATTTGGGAAATTCTGAAATCTGGGGAATATTGGAATTTGGAGAATTTTTGAATCTGGGGAATTTTTGAATCGAGGGAATTTTGAAATCTGGGGAATTTGGGTAATTTTTGGAATTTTTGGAATTTTTGAATCTGGAGAATTTTGGAATTTGGAGAATTTTTGAATCTGGGGAGTTCTGAAATGTGGGGAATTTTGGAATTTGGAGAATTTCGAAATTTGGGAAATTTTGGAATATAGGGAACTTTTGAATCTGAGGAATTTTGGAATTTGGGGAATTTGAGAACTTGAAAATTCGGATGTTTGTAATTTTGGGATTTGGGGAATTTAGTAATTCAGAAATCTGGAAACTTGGAAACTGTTAAATTGAAAAATCTGAAAATTTGTAACTAGAAAATAGTAAAATAGCAGAAGATCGTGCTTAAATTCTAATCCCTCACGATCTGGGAAAAAGAGGCTCACGTATTTCCGGATGAATCGCATAGCTACACGTGCATTAAATACGAATTCTAATCTGACTTTCGACTCGCTGGTCGCTACACCTAAAGATTACATTACCTTCAATTCACGAAAGTGCACAGTGCAGATTTTTTGTTTCCTTATCCCCCCATTTCCGCCGCTGCGGTTCGCAATTATCTCTAAACTAATCGAAAGGAAGGTGTTTCCGATTAATTAGGAAAAACTGGTGTTACCACTACCGTACAGTAATTGTTCCGGAATATTTCGCGATTTTAGAAGATTACAATATTTTTTTTTTTTGTTCGGCGCAAATGCACTAAGGAAAACGAGATAGTCTTACGGTGGTCGAAGAATCTGTACAATTTTATATGTATATATATATATATGTATATATGTATATAGAATCGCGAAGTATTTTCTTATCCTACGTGCACTCGTTTAACGAGCATTGCACCTGGCGCTAACTTAATTGTAAAAGTTTTATTCAATACTGCGTCCAAGCCCTTGAGCATCATAAGATTCATTTAGATGGATACGAGAAGGTGCTGTTCGCAGACAGCGTATCTTTTCTTTTTATTCTAAGGGATATGTTGCATGATTCAACATCTGTGGTACACGATGTTCTTCGGCTAGAAAAATGGAAGGTTGATGTGTGATATTGTACGTGAACCGATTTAACACTTTGGTGGCTAAATTCTTCTTTTATAATTTTATTTCTCATCGACTCATAGTATAGAATTTTTGTAATGATAGATATTAAATTGTGATTAGTTCATGTTTATTTATTACTTTGATTTTACTGATTTTAATTGTATTTGAGAACCTTGCATAAAAATTAGCTGCAGTATTTTTGAAATAATCAGTCCATAAGAATGTCCACTGAAAACTTGGCTACCAAAATTCCAAATCGGCCATCAAAGTGTTAAACCTTTTCTCATCTCTGCTCGACATTTAAGTACACGATTCGTATAGCATACATCGTATGACAGGGACACGATTAGGGACAAATGATTCGAGATGTAAGAAATCGTCAGGCTGCACGGAAGAAAATATTCGAAGTTCCGTCTCAATACACCAATCGAGTTGAAAAATTAGTTGATTGATACGTGTAAGATATGCAGAGTTGAAGATCCATAATATCAGGAGCTTGAGATATGTCGTTGGAAAAGTAACGTTCGAAATATGGCATGAAATTGCAACTCGCTTTCGCGAAACAAGCAAACAGACTCTGTGAGAAATATTTTGATCCGTGAAGACTAGGCGTTCGATCACAGATTCGCAGACGTCGTTCTCTGCTGGGTCGACGAGTTTACGAGCTCTCTACAAACTATATAAAAATACAAAATACAAATGCCGTTTTCACGAATATCTCTAACGATAAGAGACGCACGCTATTCCTCTCTCCGCGTCGAGAGATCGGATGCTATCATTGCACGAACGTTTATGAGATTCGTAGAAAAGAAAGTAGATCTACGGCAGTCGGTTCGAGTCGAATATTTGTGGTATATATATGAGATGTTGAAAATTCGGGTTGCTAGTTGGCGACTTATGGTGTTCGGCGATGATGGTTACAGGTTGCGAAATTTGGCAATTTTGGGATTTTGGAATTTTGGAATTTGACAATTTTTGAAGTGGGGGTTTCAGAGTTTGAAGGATCTAGGGAATTGGGATTATTTGAGATTATTAGGGAATTATTTGGGATTCGGAGTTCAGGGATGTAGGGATTAGGTATTTGGGGATTTAGGTATTCGGGGATTTAGATATTCGGGGATTTAGCTATTCGGGGATTTAAGTATGTGGGGATTTAGGTATTCGGGGATTTAGATATTCGGGGATTTAGGTATTCGGGGATTTAAGTATATGGGGATTTAGGTATTCGGGGATTTAAGTATATGGGGATTTAGGTATTCGGGGATTTAAGTATATAGGGATTTAGGTATTTGGGGATTTAAGTATATGGGGATTTAGGTATTCGAGGATTTAAGTATATGGGGATTTAGGTATATGGGGACATAGCTATTTAGAGACTTAGGTACTTGGGGATTTAGATATATGCAGATGTATCTATTTGGGGATTTAGGTATTTGGCCATTTAAGTATATGGAGATTTAGGTATTTGGAGATTGAGGTACATGAGGATGTAGCTATTTAATGATTTAAGTATTTGCTGTCTCACTGATGCACGGCCATATAACGAGAACCCACCTTCCAAATTTCTCCGATGAATTTCTAACTTCCCCTGTTGCGCGGCCATATAACGAGAATCTATATCACCTTCATAATTATTCCGATGAAATAAATTTCTAACTTCCCCTGATGCGCGGCCATATAACAAGAACCCGTACCACCTTCAAAATAACTCCAATAAATTTCCATTTTTCCAATAGAAATTTCTCGAACACCATAAGTCCTTAAACCCAAAAAATTTCCCAACATCCAGTATACCGCAATATTCATATAGATTCTAATTTTGCGACTGCCTTAACAAGAAAATGAACCGTCGTTTTCAAAGTGCCTCTCAAGTTTGGCAATGGTTAAATAGTATTGTCGTAAAGTTTGTCCGTTGATCGAACAGTAACACGGCCTCTATACGTACAAGTATGCCTCGGCTATACAATGTATACGGTGTACAATAATAATCAGTTATTTATACAATAGGTACTTAGTACGAAAGATAGTATATCTACATTTAATATTGTCATCGTTAAGTCAACGGCTCTCGTAGCTAGATCGATAGAACGAGGCCCCGAGTATTTATATATGCTTTTAGTCGAATCAAACGTGAAATATTATCTCTGACGCGTTTCTACATTCCTCTCTTATTCTCGCAATGGTCGCAATTGGCGGGAAAATCGAATGTTTATGGCTACTCTTGATGGACGATCAAATTAGATTTACCGTTGCATAATGTTCCATTAGCGTTTAAATTATTGTACTATTCACTGTTACATAGTCTTGACATCGTTTAGAAAGTATCATAAATTCTTGTAATTTATGAGACGTTAACATATGCTGTTTTTTGAACCTTGCGAATGTATTTTACTGAAATAATTATGTCTTCGCCAATTTTTAAGCGTGATTGAAATATAATTCTGTCGATGAATGTTAACACGAAGCATTCACAAAATTGCATTTTTTCTTATAGAAAAATTCCTTCAGTACAAAAATATTTTCACTTTTCTTAAACCAGTTACAAACCAAAAATAAAATTATTCCCCCAACGAAAAGACCTTGTAACGTTAGTAAAAACGTACCAAAAATATTAAAGAAGTATCGAATACATCAGTCAATCAAATTTTCAAAGTCATCAGTGTCCAACGCGTTATATCGCCGAAGAAGTTCGATTTTCCCGCCAATCGAAGCCGAACGAGTCGAAACCGAGGCCCTGGAAACTATTCTAATTTGCTTCAGTCGTAACGCTCGAAAGAACAAGAATTTTATCGAATTTCAAACGCATGTTTTCCGAGAAAAAGTAACTGTTGGGAATATCACGATAAATGTAACGCGCGGAGAAACGTCGACGACAATCGACGGACCAGTCTATCGAGTCTATTCTAAATATACGTATATATACGGCTACTGTTTTCTTTACATGTATATGTATGTACACGTATCTCTGCGTTATACTGCGTGCTTTCAAAGAAGGCACGTTGCACGGAAGAGCGTTCTTTTCGTTTCAGAGAGATCTGAGTGCAATTTTCGATCGCGGAAAAATAACGGTACGCTAAGACGCGTTTTCTTGGTCGAAAGCAGAGTTGCACATCGTCCGATCGATCCTCGAACACGAAAGCTTCGAAAATCTTGAATAAAAAATTATTTCTTAAGCGTTTGTTCGTGTCCGAGGATCGTTCGGGCAGTGTGCGACTCTGGTCAAAAGCATCGTCCGTTTCAAGGCAAAATACGAGGATTTTCTAATTGTACGCGATTCAGTCGTTTGAGAAAAAGAGATCATTGCTCGTCGATTTCGTTCTTTACTCTAGTGAGCATAAAACTGGTCAGAGGAAAAGTCAACCTCCTCTATACGCTACTTCGTATAAATTTTATCTTTTTATTCCACGAGCTTTTAGTATTCACGCAGTTTCTGTTATCTGACCAATCTTATAAGTCACATTCTGCATCGACGTGTCAATGGAAAATAATGCATCGCGAAGATCGACGACCTTTAAGTAGAAGTACGAGGTCAAACTCTGGCAGGTTTGCGAAAATACAGGGAAGAAGCTTTAAGTTAACGTAGCTCCAATTAGCTTTCCAGAAACATGATGTAGCTCCATGTTAGCTCCCCAGAAAAATAATCAATGTACATTACACTCTTCTCCCCTTCTATCATCACCCAAACTCCAGCCTCGAACAAAATCAGAAAAAAGAAGACCGCGTAAACGAAATCAGCAAGCTTCCTCGTCGTAGACGTTGAACGATGATCCATCGTACCCGCGAAGCAATTATCGATCCTGTCACGTTTCCTCGTACATCACAAGTAACACGTTTTATAATAAATGAAGGCGACCGTGTCCTTGCCGAATGTCCTGCATTCCCTCTCGTAGTGCACCTGACCAGGCTCGTACCTGCCACTC